AACCAGGACAACGCGTTTTTCTCCGGCACTTATCTTCAGCTGTGTCTGACAGAAGATTCGTTTGTCTGAGGTGAGGCTGATTAGTAATACTTTACAATGAATAAACAGCAAGTTTATAAATATATGTAAAGGTAACCTGAACTTTGAAAAGACGCTAAAACCCTTAATTACTATTATTTATGTAGACTACACCGGTGACCGTTATGAGTTGCCATGACAACCAGGAACACATTCAAGCTGATGAAAATGACAGCGTCTGACATTTCACTCAGTTTCTCAACAGCTGTATCAAAAAAGTTCAACAACTGCGTCAGACTGATTAAAGCTGCAGTCCGTAACTTTTTTGTTTAAAAATGATCCAAAATCTATTTTTGAGCAAGTACATAACCAGCCAGTGTTCAAAACTATCGCCTTACTTTAGCTCGATTCACAATGGTAAGCTTGTAATAAAGGTTTCTCATTTTTGAGTGGTACGGGTAGGTTTTCGCAGGGAATTCGAGCATGGCGCTGCGTCATTACGTCACGTCTGTAAACATAAAGAAGTTGTCCCGGGTAGTATGCTATATCGCACGTGGGGATGCTGCACTAAATACACGCACTCACGCAATGCTGATGTTATTAACATCAACAATTTGAAAACAAAGTATAACAGTAATATTAATTGGCATGGTTTGACGTGATATGAGCTAACCGATCATTAGATTTAATCGCAATTTATTGTAATGCTTTTTCCCTCAGTTGATCAGAACAAAAGTGGCAGTTGTTACTTGCTTGTTCAGATGACATTCTCCAGTGAAAACTCTTATTTGGATCATACTTTCAAGATGTAGAATCTGTGAATACAAAGTAGGGATGGGAAAATTCACAGATTCACACCAGTGCATCGCATAAAAGTTAACGATGCGATGCATCGATTTAAAAGGTGTGCATCGGCTACAAGTTGGCATTTGTATCGCGATGCATCGTTTCTAACATATTTGCATTGGTAAAAACAGATTTATTTATACAAAAATAACTAGTGGATTCGCTATACTTTTATTATTTAGAAAGTGACCAATAATCTATGACCAATATTTTTGATTTCTCCTCTCTGGACTGTTTATCAAGCGCATTCTCTCATCACCAGTGCTGCTGCGGAATCTGACGAATCTCAACACTACGGAGACCCGAGGCCTGTTTCATAAAAAGACGCTAAGAAAAGTGGGGATTAAAGTCCAAAACCTTACTTGAAATAACCTAACAAATCAATCGGTGCTAAAGCGGTTCCATAAACGACTATTTAAGTTCACGCAATCTCACTAATTTGTGCACGCTTTTTCTTAAGCAGTCCTTAATGTCGACCATGGATCAAATCGATCCACCATGGCAAACAGTGAATACATTTGTGCTGTTTAAAGGGTTAGTTCACCCAAAAATGAAAATTAGCCCATGAATTACTCACCCTCAAGGCATCCTAGGTGTATATGACTTTCTTCTTTCAGACGAATCCAGTCAGAGTTATATTAAAACACTTACTTTGATAAGCTGTTTAATGGCAGTCAGCGGGTGTTGCAGTGCATCGGTCCAAAAGAAGTGAAATAAAGTGCATCCATCCATAATAAAAAGTGCCTCACACGGCTCCGGGGGGTGAACAAAGGCCTCCTGTAGTGAATCGATGCGTTTTTG